TATACTCTTCTGAGTCAAAGATTTTTGGGGTGGCTTTTATCCCTCAGTCATTATAGCTGAAAATCAAATAAACCTGGGTTCACATTCTGCCTGTGATACTTACCACCTCTGTGATCTTGGTTAAATAACCAATTCTTGGAAATCCTGGGTTTCCTCATCTTTGAAATTGCGTTCATAATACCTCTCTTACAGAGCTTTTGAGGGGATTAAATGATACAATATGCTTATAGTTAGTGTTCAGCACAGTGTCTGCACAAATTCAACTCTCAATCAATGTTTGCTGGATAGTAAATATCCTGAAGCTGATAAGATGATCAATGTCTATACTCTGAATTCTTAAATAAGCCCTGTCTTTTCCACGTGTACTATGCACATGGGAACTTGCTGGTAAGAGACCATGAGCCACAGGCATCAGATCCTTCGAGTCTCTGGAGGGGGAATTGGGATTCTTTCTCTGGATACCCATGACTTCTTGATTCCTATCTTAAAAAAAAACTTCAGGAACACTGTGGACCCAGCACAAGATATTTGAGAAGAGGGCCAAGATTACCATTAAAAAGATGGAAATAATGATTCATAGGGAAAGATGAAAGGCCTTGAACAGGGAAAGATAAGACTCTTCATTTAATTCTAGTCTATGGAGGCTTAGGGTGAGGAGGTGTCAACCAAGTGTGTTCCTATTTCCGTTGCAGCTAATACGAAACAAAATGGACTTAAGGATAAAGTTTCATCAGATATAAGTAAAAACTGTTTGTCAGGAAGGGATATGAGACAACTGAACAAGTACAAAAAAAATCACCACCTGGAAATATCTATGATGAACAAAGGTAAGAGACCACAGTTACAAAGAATTTTCCAAAAGCAGCTAGCCAGAAAATTCTGTTCTTGTACAATATTCATATTGGTTTCATTCAAATTCACTAAATATATTAAAAAATTCCCCCCTTTAACAAATAGAGATGCTATCCCATTAAAAAAAAAGTGAAAAGAAAGTCAAGGGAAATTCAGCTGTAAGTCTTCTCCCTGATTTTTTTTATGGCATGAGCTACATGTGGGTCTTCCTCGTTTCCATTCACCAGACAGCCATCTACCCAGCTAACTAGAGTTGCGGTTCTAGTGAAGTGTCAGGGGAGGAGGATGGAAAAGTGAGGAACTTACCCCGATTCAAAACTTCTTCGCATGAGGAAAGGCACTACTTGATTCCAGTAGCTCTCCCCACCCATGTACCCAGGAGCACCAGTAAACCTGGAAAATACTATGAACTTGGTACTTAGCCTATGCTTGTCTGTGCTGGAAAGAGACCTGAGCGGTCTGCTTCCTGATGTAAGACATGGGGACGCTCTGGTTGTTGCTTTAACAAATGAGCCCACTGGCACAAAGTCACCTTGAAAGGATTCACAAACCCTTGACTGTTTAGAAGCCCTATTCTGTGTAACTCAGAGACACGGGTATAACAGGAATAGTGGTAGCTGCAGGAGACTGGTATGGGGTGGGGCATCCTGAAGACATAAAAAGTAGAGAGAATTTGAGGCCACTAGCTGGAGGAATTAAAAACAGAAAATACTTTTTATCCTTTTTTCCTTTTTCTGAAGAGCAAATATTAAGACTTAACATTTACTGGACGTGTTCTATGCACCTAGATACCTAGAGATAGATATCATCATTATTCCTGTTTTGTAGATAAGGAAACCAAAGCTCAGAGAGACTAAATACAGCAGAGTAGTAGTATATTGTAGTTGATAAGAACTTGGGCTTTGGAACACCTGGGTTTGATTTCTGGCTCTACCTCACATTAGCTTTGTGATCATAGATAAGGCCCTCAGCTCTCAATCCCACTAAACTGTAAAATACGTGAAAGTAGAGACTTGGTCTGTTTTGTTCACTACTGATCAGCCCTTAATATTTTTTCAATGAATAAAGGAATAAGACCAAAACAATTTCCCAGTTGGACAGAGAGAGATGAGTATTTTAAGGTGACGTGGGATGAATGCTACAAACAGCCTGGACAAATTTCTACCTGTCAAGCCAAGAAATAGCTTAGACTAGAGTGCATAATAGACTTACTTCTTTACATCCCATCCACTCCATTTTATTCTTGTCTCTTCCCTATCACTAGAGAATTTGTATCATCAGCTACTGAGGTAATGCAACCCGGCTTTGAATTCTCACAGCCTGCAATTCCCTTGTATTTAATCTTCCTGTTTTACACCTCCAAGAACCCTAGCTACATAAAATACTACTTTTTGAATGATCTTCCTGTAATTCCCAAAATATACTTCTCTCTCCTTTACCTGGTACTAGCCCAAGCCCTTTAATATTCTGAGTTAGTCAAACTTTAGGAAAACTTCTTTCTACCTCTTTTATATATGAATCTTAATCTTTTTTTGAGTTTCTCCTGAGTCATCTATACTTTTCTGTTCCTACTGAATAATTTCTTGTTTTCTGAAACAAATTCATCACGTAAATAACTTCGAGGAGGAAGAAGTAATCAATTATCGCATACTAGCTAGTTTTAGGATCTTCCCATTTTTTTGAAAACACTTGGAAGATCAGCAAAAGAAAGCCTAACAGAGGCAGAAGAGAAATGAAGGTTCAATAAGCAATATTCACAAGTGACTGAATACAACATGACTATACTTTCAAGTATAAAGGTATTGAAAAGGGAATTGTTTATTTTTTTATCCAATATTTAATGAGCATCTTCTACGGCCCTGTGTAAGTTGCTGGGCAGATAAGCTGGTTCTGGCCCTTAAAGAACTGATAGTCTAGGACAAGGTTTCTCAACCTCTGCACTACTGATATTTTGGGCAGGATAATTCACTGTTGTTCAGGGTGGCGAGGGTGCTGTCTTGTGTAGTGTAGGATGTTTAGCAGCATCCCTGGCCTCTATCCACTGGATGAAATAGCTTCCTGCCTCCCTTCCCAGTTGCGACAACCAAAAAGGTCTCCATTTATTGCCAAATACACCTGGGGGAAAACTGCCCCTCAGTTGAGAACCACTAGTTTATGGAAAGTAGATCATTTCTCTAATACACTGTGATAAGGATTATTAAAACTTTGAGAGTAGAGAATAGGGCTTCTTAATACTGGGGGAAAGTGGGAAAGGATGCCATAGAAAGTTTCACAAAATAAACGACATTTAATGCTTAATTTTTAAAAAACATTTAGCAGTAGGCCAAGCAGACAAGAAAAGGGAAAGTTTGGGATATAGGTAGGAGAACAATGAGTAGAACAAGACAATTCAGGCAGAGACAAGAGGATGAGTAAAGGCCTGAAGGAAGGAGTCCAGAGAGCGTTCAGGCCATGACGGATGATTTGCATGTGGGAGAACTAGAAATAAGGCTGGGACCAGATCATGCCATGTAAGAAAGGAACTGGAATTTTAATATAATAAATAAATGTGTATTTTAAACACAGTGGAGCCCTCAAAAAAAAACCTTACCTAGATCCCTAGTCTATTAAACTGATCAAAATGGAACTGCTTTGATTGGATCATGGTCCACTCAGTTTTCCCCTTAGCTTCTAAGCTGGCTTCTGAAGCATCTCTGCGGAACCCTAGAACTCTGGGTAACATACTAGAAAAATCACTCTTGCAGGCAAGAGGATACCACTGAAGGATATTAAGCACAGAATATATGTTCATATTTGCTTTTCAGAAAAAAGCACTCTAGTAGCAGATCTGAGTATGGAGGAGGGACAAGGGAGAAAGCCTAAGGTACACAGAATAGGCAGCATTTTATGTGTGGGTTTCACTTGGAGACCAGTCTTCAGTCTAAAATACGTAGGAAAAAGCACATCGGCTTTGGAGTTGTACACATTCAGCTTCAAATTCCACATGTATCATTAATGTGACCTTGGACATGTTAGTTGACCTTGCCAAACTCTACTTTCTTATTCTGTAAAATGGGGCTACCAACCTCACTTGGTGGCTGTAAGAAAATATCAGTAAACAGAGGTCAGGTGCTGGCATACGATAAGCACTCAGCAAATATAAATGTGCATCCTATTCTTTCACTTAGTCTCTGTCTGATTAAAGCTTTTTAGGCTTTCCTGATCCTATGTAACATTGAGTGTGTGAGGCGAGACCTCACAGTTTGTTGTTAATGCATTTTCTACTTGTAGAATAGATACATAATTCTTTTTTTAAGAGAAGTTTTTGTTTTTGGAGTGATCTATTAGCATGAACCACATGCTAACAGAAGAGGTCAGGATTTGGCTTCTTACTTTGGGATCTGCCAGGATGTCTTATAAGAGAAAGATCAAAACAAGAGTGGCCAAAGCTCAGCACGACATGTGCTGTCTGGTTCAGAGAGTGTCTCTGGCCTTCCCCAGTTTAACAAAGCTTGTATTGGTTTCATGGTTAGGAAGTCAGCAGCTAAAAACTCCTTCTATGTACACCTCTTTCAGGAAATTCAAGTGGTGTTGGGATCATAAAGCTGATTTATACAATCCAAGTTTTAAATTCAAGTATCCTTCCATTCCTTACCATCCTGTGTAAGTACTTCTTCAGTTGTGAATATTTACACCCCCTTCAGAGAAAACAATTTATATTTTGAGAGCACTGATTTGTTTTCTCCTTGTCTTTCTCATTGTTTATCATCACAGTGACTATATATCATCACTTAAGAAAAATGTCCATTGTAATAAGGTGAAAGGTACAGGGCTTAGGGGTATAACTGGGTGGAGAAGTGATCCCAGAGTAGGAAGAATTCAGCTGAAGTATTTTGAGATCACAGCAGTGTCTGTAACGCAGTGGATTATGCCAGAATTTTTACAGAAGCAGACCCATTCCAACTTTACACAACAAGGCAATTAATGAACGCTTTCTGATATTTTCCAGGCAGTCTTCATCCCTGGACCCCTATAATGCAAGTGTATCTTTCCTTACGGCCACAGGTTTCCTGGACTCTACACTTTCTCTTTCTAGTGGAGAATTTAGCATCACATCCAACCCATGTCCATTTGAGACTCTAATGTGAAGGAGAACTTAGTGGTCTTACCTCTGAATCAGGGTCCCAAAAATAAGATGAAGAACTTTCTGCATGTTTTCCGTACATAACCACTTCCACTGTTCCATTAGTAGCAAGAGAAGCAGATCCAGGGCTGTGTCAGCTAACGCTGTCTCTGTTCCTGGAGAATGAAAAGGCATCAAAAGTAATTCCGAAAAGACACATACTGGAGGAATATATTTCAATGTACTGGGTCTTTTCCACCTTTTTATCAATCATCTTGTATTTCTGTAATCCTACTGTACTTAAATCAAGTCAAGAGATGTTTACATCATATTTAAAAAGTTCAGTGATAGGCTCTATTTCTTTACATTTCCTTTTTTCTTTTTTTGGTGAGGAAGACTGGCACTGAGCTAACATTTGTTGCCAATCTTCCTCTCTTTGCCGAGAAAGATTGGCCCTGAACTAACATCTGTGCCCATCTTCCTCTATTTTGTATATGGGATGCTGCCACAGCATGGCTTGATGAGTGGTGCATCAGTCCATGACTGGGATTCGAACCTGCGAACCCCGGGCCGCTGAAGTGGAGTGCGCGAACTTAACCAATAGGCAACCGGGCCGGCCTCACGTTACAATTTTTTTGTGTTCCTTAGCCACTTAGTAAGTATTTTTTATCTTTTTAAAAGATTTTGCATATAATTCTTTTGCTTACCTAGCTTCTCTTTCTTTTCTATTTCCCCCAGGGAGCTGAATACATTTTGTTCTAAGTAAGTGCTCACAACTGGTGACTAACTGGAATTGGCAAGGCCCAGTCTCTTCCATCCTTATATTCCACTTGCTTCCACAAAGCATCATGGAAATGTTGTGGGCAGCAGACTTAGAGAAAGATTTGGGATTCATTTTCCCAAAAGAGTTGCTTTGAAAGCATCTCCATTACTCAGAGCTGTTGGGTTGTGATCCAGGAAGCTTCAGTTTGATTTTGAGATAACATGTAGTTGTAGGAAGAGCATTACACCTCTGGGAAAATGTCATGACAATTACCGATTTCTTTCCTGTTTCAAAGACTGGAAAGGCCACAAATGAGCTCATACCCACACTAAGCTGAAGTCTCCTAAACAGATGTGTTTGATGGATGGAAGCATCTGTTTTCTAACCCTGTTCAGGGGGTCCCATGTCACCTCTGATTTGCTTCCTGGGAGACCTCCCCAGGTGTACATAATGTTCCAGAATGAATCTCAGCTTTCTGGTGCCACTGCTGTGATTAATATTATAAGTAATCATCAACAATAATTTTGTTAGTTTAGGACCAGTGGGTATTCTCTGGGCCAGCTTGCCCAAGCTGTCCTCCCTTAAGGGTTCTTTTGGAACATGAATGACGTCAAATTTGGATGAATCTGCTGGAAATGAATCCTATTTTCTTCTTAATCCCATCTAATATATATTTTCTTTTTTCTGCATTGTATTTCAAGGTGTCATGGGAGCTTATGTATTTGCTTTCTACTCATTTGCTCAAAGAGGGGATATTCAGTTCCTTGGGAAACAGCATCATCCTGAGCCTTAGTCACCCTCTCCAATTCTATTACTCAAGGTTAGCATCTACCTAGAGCTGCCACCATGTGGTGACAATTAGTCATAGCAGCAAAAAATAAGAAGGCAAACAAGGCATCAATCTTCTTAAAGAAGAGAGTAAATTTTCTATCATATGATGAGCATTTTGAGTCTCTCAGGGTTAGAAGAGAGGTTTTAGAGATATGATGTTCAAAATTTACAGGCTTGATTTTGGCTATAATTATTGTTTTACCCATGCCATTTTATTTATAATTTCTCACACTTCTCTGATGCTTTTGCTGTCATAATACTTCATTTATTTAACCAGTGAGATAAGTGTGAAGAGATGGGGTTGTAAACTCCATTTTTCACACAGTTAAGTTGAGGTCCATAGAGCAGAGGACAGGTGACTGTTCATGAGCACCTGAGAAACAATGGTGAAATCAGCCTTTTTTTCTTTCTGAACCCAAGATTTTGTGATCTTTTATTTTCAGTGGGAGACTGTCTTGGTGGAATTGAAAAACTTTTTTCTTCTAAGTTCTAGCTCAGCAAACACACTAATATCTGGGGCTCCCAATTTTTCCTCTGTAGAAAACATCTGCACTTCTTCTGGGAAGCAAACCCGCCCTGCCTCAAATGCTTACAAGGAGAGAGCAGTGTCCTCCTCTCTTCTCCCTCCCTGCTCTACCTTTGGTAACTAGGTGGTGTCATTTGCCATGGCTAATAAATAAAACAGAAGGAACAGATCTAGGGAAAAAGATGAATTCCATTTTGCACATGTTGTACTTCAGTTGCCCTGTGGTATATCTAAGTGGAGATTTCCAGAAGGCAATTGGAAATACAACATCCAATATTTAGGCATCATCAGCACATGTGTTAGAGTTGAAGCCAATAGTACGGATGAGATCACCCAGGGGGAGCGTGCAGAGTAAGAACAGTGAGCCAAAAATAAAGCTCTGGAAAGCTAATAAGAGAGCCAACAAAGGGGACTGAGAAGGGACCCCAAGAGAGGCAGACAGAAAACCAGGAAAAGTGGTACTAAAGACACTAAAGGAAGAAAGTTTCTAGATAAAGGGAGTAGTCCCAAGATACGCCAAAGCATGCCAAAAATATCTTAAATAAGATAATGATACTATAAGTATGGATCCTATCTTGCTGGATTGGAACTCACTGTTTTTGTGCCTTGCTCTTCTGCTCGATTCCGTTCCAGGGACTGTGCATATCCTTTGTATCCCAGCACTCTGCACAGTACCTGACACTGGTGTTTAACACATGGCTTGCTTAGCTGAACAGAAGAGAAATTACAGCAACGAATCCCAACTACGACAAGTCCCAAGTGGACGGTACCCTGGCTCCCTTCTCTGTGGGTGCAGAGATCTTGTCACTCACCTGGATCCCCGTGGCTGAGGTCTTGGGCTGGCACAGCTGCATGTGACAAGTAACCATCCACACATCCTTGGGGAATTTGTTCAGGATCTTTTTCTGGGGTTTCTGCTGGCTGCATTTCTAGTAACTTTGTCTGTTTTTCAATAAAGGATTCCATTCCAGACATGGATAGTATCTCTGACTCCTGAAGAAAGAGCCAGTGGCATTATCAGATAAAGATGCAGAAAGCAGGAGAGCAACCACAGCACTTTAGGTCTTCCCTGTTCCTTCTCTGTGAAAGTATCATGAGGACAGAACCCAAATGACTCTGTGACCACCTTCGGAAAGTTTTTATCTTTTACCTAGGTTCCAAGTAAAGCAGTGCCTTTGTATCCTCACCTGCTGCAAACAGTTTCGGGTCATGTGTTCGCTTCCAGGAACTGGCTTTCTTTCTCATTCTTTCATCCATTATCCCAAACCCATGACCCTTGAGAAGCCAACCTGCCAACCTAGGACTAGTAGAAATTCCAAACCACTCAAAGAAAATACTTTTAAGAATAAAAATTAGAGCTTCCAGATGTTGGTTAAGTCCTTCAGCAAGTCCTAAGTCCTTTCTGACTTTGGAGACTGTCTCAACTGCCTATAACTGCAGGATCAACACCCTAGCTATTAATTCTAGTTCTCTAGGAACTTCTTACCACACTGCCTTCCTGGAGACAATAGAGAATCTTCTCATGTGCTTCAGTCATATTCAGTGCTGGAGCAATTTTACTGGATGAGAACCTCAGTCTGGACCTGGAACAGAAACAAAGAGCAGAAACGGAATGTAATTCCTGGTCTTGATCCCCATACAAAGGGCTGACAAGTATTAATACCTCACAACAAGAACACCCATACTTGTTCTTGGGAGCTTTCTGTGGTTAGAGTTGCCAGGAGAGATCTGGCCCTGAAATCTTCCAAACAATATATATTCTGGCAATCCTTAATATACAGTGCAACTCTTACACTAAGCTATGTCTACAATGCATTTGTGAAAGGGCTTTTGCTAATGTAAAATAGGGACCAGTATCCCCATAGGCTAGAAAAGTGGCTAGCACATACTATGCACTCATGAAAATTTTGTTGAGGATTAAACAGATAAGTGGCATTGACCAAAGTTTTTGTTGTTGTTGGTACTCTTTGTGCACATCCACTTATTCCCCTTGTGTTCCAAATAAAACCAGAGAAGGTTTGCAAGTGCTAACCTCAGTGCTTCAAGGAATAGTGTTCTCATAAGCACAGGCATCATGGTCATCCTTCAAAATACGGGTCTGGTAAAAAAAAGGCTAAGAACTGTGAGTCTGTTATTGCTCACCCGTGAAACGAACACAGAGACAAAGACAGACAGTCAGACAGACACGCATACATACAAACACTCTCTACTGCCTCCCCTATCACACACACATTCTTTCTTCATAATGGCCCAGATACAGATAAGAAGTTTCCAGTAAGGGTAAGTATGGTGCCCTTCCCTTCCACATGTTTGTTGGCTTTGAGTGATGCCAGGGAACATCTGGGACCTCAGTGTAGGAGAGAGTAGCAGCAGTAACCAGTTACTAAAACAGAGCCTGCAGGTGTCCATTCTAGTCCTTTTCTGTTTATTGCTAGTATATGCAACTTCTGAGCCAAGATTTCTAGAAATGATGGCAAACAGAGATTGGTTATAAGCCTTAATTCTTAATAGGAAAGAAACATCTCAATTTTCCAGGAAAACAGAAAAAGAGAATATCCATATTCTAGAGTTTTCCTTCTAGTCGAAAATCCCTGGCCACTTTGGGCTCTGAGTTCCCATAGCAAGACAAACATTCAGCAGGGCTGCCTATGCAGGATCTCAGGCTCCTCTGGGTGGAGCATCGAGGAGTCTGGGGTCTGGCTTCACATAAAAACTGGTATGTATGACACATCTTCTCTCTTCTTGGGCTTGAGAGTGGGGATAGGCTTTGGCTGAGGATTGGGGATCAACCTGAGAACTGGGAAAGAGTCCCTGGGTGACTGAAGGGCTTCTCACTTGCTAGCCTTCTTGCCTTCTGTCTGGGGCTTGCTTTCTGTCTCGGCCTCACTCAGCTCCTCTGTGGGGCTCTGGGGTTCGGAGCGAGGAAATGCTGTCTTCAAGGTGTCCACGATAGCACTCACCACCATCTGCAGGGGTCAGAGGTGCAGTGTCAGATGGAAACCACCAAAAGAGCAGTTGTCTTTCGGTGCTTTATGCAATCAGGACAAGTAGATAGTTAGGCTATCTAGCAGAGCGTTATCCATCAGTACAGTCAAATACTAGCTAATGACAGTGGCAAATATCCTCCCTTTTCTCTACAGTCATAAAAATCTTCTTCATCACAGAGTTAAGACAAATAATGCCATGGGAAAAGAAGCCAAAACAAACAATGGGATAAATAAAAACCTGGGAGCTCAGTGGGCTGGTGAAATATTTTTCATTTTCAATTTCTTACTTTGTATATAAAAGAATGATTTTTAGTTTCCAAATTGATAATACTTTCACCCAGATGTGAATAAGTAGAAGTTACATAGGTAGGAATATATGGAGAAAAGAAAGAGTGAAGAAGATTATCAAAATAAGAAATACAGTCTAGAGGCATATATAATGTAAACATGCTCAGTGTAATTCACACAGAGTAAAGAACTGTTTTTTTCCAGTTAATTCAAACAATTTCTCTTCTTTAAGTACAGAAAAAATAACAAAAATCACTCAGGTCAAAATTAAGGAATTTGGAATTGATATAAACTTCTCTATTCATAAAGACCAAATAAAACAATCCTCACTGAAAAGTAAGAATTATCTCTATTTCTCAGAATGAGAAAATGACATATTTGCTAAAAAGGAAAATGTACAATCAAGTGAAATCCTAAAATATCAAAGAAACGCAAAGAAACATTTTCTTTCCCTTTGGTGCCTCTTGCTAATTAACACTGCTAGCTGACAGCAGCACCATGCCTTCTTTAACTCATTCCTGCGTTAACCCTCTACAAGGAGCATAGCTAGCACAGCTAAGACAAGGCTGAAATGGTTGAGCCAGACTGCAACAAAGACTAGGGGATAACAAAGCAGGGAAAGAACAAAGACGATAGCGTGAATGTAGACAATGTAGTTTAGAAAATATAACTTGCTCTTTAGCCTCACAAAATTGTAGTGTGTGGGGAGGGTCCTTACCTGTCTTGCTGACTGTTCTATCATGAGCAAGTAGTACAGTACATGGCTTTCAATAGGCAAGCAGTAAGTACATGCTGAAAGAATTAATGAATGAACACATCTGCATGGAACTCTGGGGATTTTACTTCATTCATCCTTTTCTAGTTTGGTTTCTTCCTCATAGCAGGGAATGCCTCCTGACTCCTACCACATGAAATTCCACATCATCATTTTATCCCCTGAAGTCTAGATGAGAAGAGGGAGGTCCCTCTTCTACCAATAAGTCAGTTTTCTAACCTTTTAAAACATATGCCATTTTTTGATAAACATAAACCTCAGACTTCTGCCCCGAGACTCTAAAAATCAGTTGGTAATCACTGCTTACAGGCTCCAACGTGTTACACAAATGTCCTTCTCCTATCATCTCCAAAGGTTCTGATACAGGCTCTTGAAGGTACAATTTTCTCCACACTCTGTTCTCTAGCAGAGAATCACTTTGTTGTTAGTGATGCTGAGTTGATTTCAACTCCTACCGACTCTGTGTATAGCAGAGCAGAACCCCGCCCAATCTTTTTTGCGCCATCCTCTCACCTTTTGGCGCTATATCAGACAATGCTCTGCTGCTGTTCACAGGGTTTTCATAGCCAATTTTTTCCGAAGTGGGTGGCCAGGTCCTTCTTCCTAGTCTGTCTTAGTCTGGAAGCTCCACTGAAACCTGTCCACCATAGGTGACCCTGCTGGTATTTGACATACTGGTGGCATAGCTTTCAGCATCACAGCAACACGCAGCTGCACAGCTGCGACAACCTACAGACAGGTGGTATGGTTCCCCAACTGGGAAAGGAACCTGGGCCATGGCGGTGACAGCACCGAATCTTAATCACTAGACCACCAGGGCTGGCTATAGAGAATCACTAAATCAACCTAAATTCAGCTTAATGTCCTGCCTTAGCGCTCTCTTTCCTGAGTGACCAACACTGGGAATGATCTTCACCTCCAGAAGAGACCTTCCCGCCCCCACTTATTTATAGAGGGACTGACCTATCCTTACATCTCTCTACTAGAATGACAATCTCTTGATATCCCCAGGAGATATGTGTACATTTATAGTGGCAGGGGTATTGTATCCTCATAGTTGCTCATTGTAATTCAGCAAGTTGATGATCCAACCAATATTTGACAAAAGGTCTTGAAAATTCTAGTCTATGTTCCACTGACTCCTCTGTGCTACCTTTCCCCACCTCCCACCTCCCTTATTTTTCAAGCATTGCCTCCACTCTGATGAGACACTAAGACTGAGTACAGTGGCCCTGCTAGTACCTTGTCTATCCTGGAGACCATGAACGGTTTCTTGACAAAGGCAATACGAGCATCTGTGTTCAGAGCAAGGAACTCCTGCACCTCCTCACTGTTAGCGATCTCAGGAATAGAACACAGTTGCTGCAAAAGACACAAGAAGGACTTCAAAGAGAAATTCTGGTCCCCAGATCTCTCCAACATGGCTTGAGTGTCTGGTGGTTAGAAGGAGAGCAGAGCCAAAACAGAAGGATGCTGACCTTTAAGAATGATTCCAGGAGGCTCTTACGGGCTTCTACTCTGTCACTATCCATGTTTCCAAATGGAAGATCTGGAAAGAGTTTTTTAGGACCCTTCACATCTTAAAAAAAAAAAAAAAAAAAAAAGAGCTCAGTCACTTAACATTCACTGAGAGCTATTCCATATAAAACACATCATATATGTCAAGAAAAGAGAACTGTTATTTCCCTGAGATTTTTTTATTTCAGGAGTTCCAAATATACCCAAATATAAAAATAATAATAATAAATAGAATAAAATAAAATAAAAAATAAAAATAATTCCAAATATAAAAATAAGGAGAGAATACATACAACCTTCTCTCATTATTAATGTGAATATTAAGGTATAAGAGGCCACACACTACAGTGGTTATGAATCAAGGCTCTGAAATCCAACTGCGCAAGTTTAAATTTTGGCTCCAATCTATACTATAATGACCTTAGGCAAGTTGCTTAATTTTTGTTTCTTTTCTGTAAAATGGGGATAGTTGTAGTATCTATCTCATAAGCTGTTATGAGAATTAAACGAACTAATGCGTGTAAAGTGCTTGGAAGAGAACCTGGCATATATTGTCAAGGATGACTGAGTATTATCTAATCTTATTAAGCTATGTTATTATTAAACTAATGTTATTAAGAAAGAAAATGCATAATCGAAATCCACAATTTATGCCTAATTTATTAAAATGTTTGTGTGAGCGTCAGCATTCTTTTAAAAAACAAAGTAGCTGCTTACTAGCTGATTTTTAGAGTTAAATTTTATTACATTTTCTGACATCCCTGTGCCTTATGGGTGTCAAACAGCACACAAAAAAAGCCTGGTTGTTAAAGAAAAAGTGGCAAGGATTTCTGGATAATATTTTAATATTTAAGAGCAATCTATGAATCTAGAAAAGTTAATTTAACTCTTCATGCTACCTCATAGGCACAGATGGCAATGTGAAAGTTTCTTTCTTAAGTTTAAACTAGATAGGGTCCCAGAACAAAGCATTCAGTGGCGAAGCAGCACCTCAACAAGAATGTGATCAGTGCTGTCTAGCACTAAAACCCTAAAACACCTGAAAGCAACCTGGGGGAGCACAGTAGGACCTTTGATGCTGCATTCTCCTCCATCCCGCCCCACAAACCAATAGGCCTCCAGCCTCTCAATCAGGGTGGTTGGATATGAAAAGCAAGCAGGCAGTCCGGGGCTGGGGAAACTCCTGACTTTTGACGAACTTTCGCAGATCTGATTTCTCCTCCAGACGGGTCTGCAAATTCAGGAATTCGCGGTAGCGGCGATTCACAGTGTGGTAGGCCAACTGCTGCAGGCCGCTGCTGTTCTCACTGTCAAGGGCTGTCTCATACTGTTGAATGAACAAATCTGTTTACTGCATCAGCTCAATGGCCACAAAGAAAGAGCAGAATAGGGGTAAAGGGAGGGAGATGTTCCTATTCTGTTCCTGAACCAATGATGTCTGATTGCTACTCTAGGTTGTAATGAATAACTCAAATTCCAAGGGTGGCTGAAATAACGAATGAGATGCATTTCCCAATATATGTGGCCCAGAACGCGAGAAATGACTTTTACTGTTCTCCACTCCTTCTTCCATCTCAAAGCTCCCTCCAACAACACTTCCTTTACTTATAAAAATGGCTACATAACTATTTTTCAAATCCGTAAGACAGAGAATAAAACAGAAGGTACAACACCAATAAAAATGATACCACCTCTTTCACCCCTAAATTGTGGGGTTGGACATTATAAGGGGATCATCATTTTGCCATTATTCTCAACCAGTGGTTATCTATGTTAGTTGGGGGAAGAACAAATAATCCAAAACAGCTGATGAACAAAAATCATTTGTTTGCCTGAAATGCATTAAAGGGACATGTGTTTTGTTTTGCTTTGGGCAGATTATCATTCTTGGAGCTAAACTGAATTTTATTTTCCTAAGCGTGTATCATCTGTATTAGAAGTCATGTGAAGATTGGAGGTGTTGTAAGGAGTCAAAGGCTGTCTTCATATGCTTGGAAGGCCAGAATGTGGGAAAAGAACTTGAATTGTATGTTCCCCCTAAGCGAACACCCTAAACAGCGTGAAAGCTGCAACTTAGTACAGGGGAACACTTTTTGACAGAGTACTTAAGATATAATGAAATGCTGTGGAAGAACTATATATGTGCTTGTTCTCATTACAAGTAGGTTACCATTATTACTTGGTCGAGGTATTATACTGTGGGCAAGTGATGGAAGAAATGATCTCCTTGTTGGTGGGACTTGAGGACGGTGTTTTAAAATTCTTTAGAGCCAGAGAGAGAGCTGACATGAGCAAAGTCATCCCTCAGACCAGTACTGAGAAGGAAAGGCCTAGGTAAGAGACAAAGGTGGAATTCACGGTGGGGATCTTAAACTTGGAGCACTTAGTGTTATGATGCTTTCTGTGGAATATTCTGCTCCTTGAAGAACACTATTCAATACTGATATATTCCCAAATCTGGCTGCACCTCAAAATTATTTGGGCTGCTTTTTAAATATACAGATTTTGATAGGCTTTGGTGGAATCTGAATGAGAATTTCTAAGAGTGGGTCCCAAGATTCTATATTTTTTTAAAAATACAACTCTCCAGGTGACTTACAAGCAGCCTACCCTAAAGCCAGTTTTAGGGAACTGTTGTTCTAATCGAACCAGCCATCTGATACATGAACCTCCTTCATATCATCTCCGCCAAGCAGCTCCTACTTCTGTGCTTAAACATCGCTAGGAATGAGGAACTTGCTGCCTTCTAAGGTATGTACAGGTATATAATAGGTATATAATAACCTTCCTTCCTAAAACAAATTAGAAACAAAACTAGTCTTTAAAAAAAAAAAGAGAGAAATTAGCAGGGAAGAAGTTTGGGAAGAGAATTTCTGGACAAGACTCTCTACATTGGGAACCACGGAAAAATATAACCCTCGATATCCTAACAATCCTGAGATTCTAGGATTGTTTGTGGGGGTATTGCATAGAAGCCTACTCTGCTTTACAAATGAGCTTCAGACCGTTCATGTCTGAATTAAACACAGCAAACTAAGTAAGAGTAGCTTCTCTCAGAACACTAGCTTCACTGACTCTGCTTTCCAAACCACTTCCCAGCCCAGAGTGGATGACCACAGTTCTAATCCTGTTACCTTCACTGTGTAGAGTGTGTATGGGTGGAATCCGGTGCCACTGTGCTCTCGAGCAGTAATAGTGCCAGTGATTCGAAGGTTCTGGATGACAACAGGGCCATCTGGACTGCTCAGGGGCTCAAAGCTGAAGGTGGCTGAGCTGAGAGGACCGGGTGGAGAAGAGGAAAGCAGAACCTGTGGCAGTCTAGGATCTGGGGAGCTCACATCATTTGTGAGATCCTTCTCTAAGCATGAGGGTCGTGGGGGGCAGGTCCTTTCCGAACCTGCCAGCAAAGGTGTAAGAGAGGTGACATCTCCTTGCTCTACCTCCTTGTCTGCTGTGTCAATCTGGATCTCTGGGCAGGAATTCAGCATGGAGACCAGGAGGCCTGACTCTGCACCCTCCTCAGGCTCTGCTTCTTCAATTCCTTCAGATCCTTCACCATCCTTAGACTCTGGAGACTGGGAACTCCGTAAGGTACACAGGGCATCCTGGATCCTGTCAGAGAGGAAGTTGCCTGGGGTCATGAGCATGATGGTTTCTTTGCCCAGTTCAGACAATGGAGACTCCAGCTCTGCATCTTCACATAAGAACAGAGGGCCTCGAACATCTGGCTGTAGGAAATGAGATGAGTTATTTCCTACCTTTCTTTCTTCTGGCACTCCACCCAAATCTCCCTCTATAGCTTCATGGCCTTCTTCAACTTCTGGGGAGCGGCGTGAAGACCCCTCTGGCTCCCTACAGTTTAGGAGCACTGGGGCTGCTGCTGGAGAAGGGGCTCTCACTTCTGGTAGGTTCTGTACTTCAACAATCAGTGGCAGAGATGTAGGCACTGTGGGATGTTCCAGGGCACTTCCTGGGCGGAGTGGTTTAACCACTCCTGCCGGATTATTTCTGGCCTTGGAAAAGATGCCCACGAGTACAAGGTGGATCCAGTCAGGATCTGACAGCTTGCTGATCAGCGGTAAGATAACATTGCAAGTAATGAGTTCCACCACCACATGGCGTCCGGTCCGGGTCTCTAAGTGGGGCTTTGGTACCAGCCCTTGAAGCAACAAATTCACAGTGCCCCGTGTATAGGCGACCTCAGCACTGGGGCTTTGTACAGCAGGGTGTGGGGCAGCAGCCCGGCAGTAAGCCTCCCAGAGCTGGGAGGGCTCCAGAGTACCACTCTGCTTCCCTGCGGCGGCCTCCTTTGCCCGAATATAGCTCTGCAGGTGACAACCGCAGAGCGTCAGAACCCTCTGGGCGAGAGCACGACTGTCCACCACGCCCATCCTCCTCCGGAGTTCCTGGACCAACCCTCTCATGGCTGCCTCCATTTCTTCCTCGAAGGCTGGCTCCCGGCTCACTGAGCGATACCAGGATGACACAAAGTCTCGAACAATCATCTGGATGGTGCGGTTGATCTCCTGTTCCAACTGCTTCTCTGCCTCAGGGTTGGGAGCGCAGACGGCCATCGGGATGAAGCGTTCCAAGTGCAGTCGACCTGAAGCCCCCACCACGGCGTCTGAGCCCAGCCATCCTCCCAGCACCGCCAGCAATGCACACAGAAGGCACAGGAGCCACACGTTGACCAGAAACTGGATGACCAGGAGCCAGCAGAGCACGACCCCTACGGCCATCAGCTTCCGGCTGCTCAGCAGATTACTGAGGCCACAGCCGGACCCCGCTGGGGTCGCCTGGAACGCGGACCCTGTCTCCGCCTTCATGGCTGAGAGGCCCAGGCGGCTCCGCGCGACGACCGCCCTGTTTTGCTTCAGAGCCGGGGACCGGGGCACTCGCTGTCCGGATCCGGGAGACCCGGGCCGCTCCCCAGGCCCCGGGGGCTCGGGGCGCTGCACGGCCTACAGGCGCCGCGGCTCGCCCGCGCTCCAGCCCCTGCCCGCGGGGCCGCTGCTCTCCAGGAAAACTCGGCGGCCCTCACGAGCCGCGCTCGGCCACAAGAGCCTCTCGGCCGCCTCCGGGGGCCGGGGCGGGCCTCCGCGGCCCTCACCCAACTTACAGACGCCGACGACCGGGCCGCACACCGCGGGGGCGCGCCCAGCCCGAGCCCGGGGGCGCGCCCAGCCCGAGCCCGGAGGCGCAGTGGGCTCAAGGGTGTCTTCTCCGCAGGCCCTTGAGAAGACCTCCGCCGGGCGCGGCGGCCCAGGTCCCCGCGCTCCACAGGTCGCCTTCCGTCAAGGCTGTCGGCCGGCAGCGGCCGGCGACAGCTTCCGGGTCGACGTCGGCGGAGCGTGGCACGCTGGGAGAGCGTCCGCGCGCCCCAGGGCGCGGCACTGCCCGGCGCCCCCTGGTGGTGATGAGCCGCAGTGAACGCACCGGCGCCAACTGATCTCGGAACCGGAGTGCAGGCGGGGCGCGTGCTCGCGTAGGGTGGGCCAAAATTCCCACAGCGATTGGGACAGAGAGCGGCCTTGCAGGCAGTGACGCTCAAAGACTCAGACTTTCAGCTCTAATAACTAAATGAAGTCTGCAAACACCTTTTGCTGCTTAGGCAAACTCTCAATAATCCAGTTTATTTTAATCCCATGTGGGCATGTTTTCATTGGCCTGATACATTTTAAAATTCACCCGGCTTCCCCCAGTACCCCCTCAATCCCCAATACACAGCCCACTGAACTTGTTTTGGGGAATTGCAGAGTGCAAGGCATAAAACATTAATACAGAGACAGACTCTTCCTTAAATTTCATATAATGTATGACAAAATCATATTTGTGATTTGGGGTTATTTGCTGGTGGCATTACCCAAGCAATCAAATATTTTGAGACTCTGCTATATTCAGTGGCTGTGATAGGTGGTGTAGAGCAACAGAAGCAGCCCTTGTCCTCAAGTACCTTGCAGCTAATTGGGTAGAAAGTTCTTGGATCATGAATGGATATCTCATAATGCAAGTCAATATGGGATATAGCAAAATGAAAAATCTTATAGGTATTCAGGGGAAGGAACGATCACTGTGGGTTGCAGTGGTTAAGGAGGACCTCATGGAGAAAGTAGGCTTTCTGCTGGATCTCCAAGAGTGTGAGTTTCTTTCTGTTCTCCTCCATCTCTTTTTCCCCTTTTCTCCCCAAATATATAGGAAAGAAGGCAGAAGTAAAGAAGTGTTTTCAGGCAATCTTCGAATATATTTGCTTTGGAATGTGCTCTATGTCTGATTGTTTTTGGTTTTAGTAAATTTGCCTTCAGTTGTCTACTCAGACAGAGTTACCTATAGGAAGATTAAATATCTGACAGTAGTGGTGACACATGCAGAAAAGTGTTTATGCCAGTTTCGTGTAAAGCTAGCTTCCTTCCCCATCTTGCTTCCTAGGAACTCTGTCTGTAATGTGGCTCTCCTTTTTATTTTGGCACAAGATGTACACTATTTGTATAGAGCTGCTCATGGTTGCTCATCTTCAGCCTTCTCTATGCTGTTAGCAGCCTTTCACCATTATAGCATTAGTCCCCAGATGTTTAGAGGAATCTTCAGGCAAACTCCCACCAAAAATGTGCCGACAAGAAGCATATTACATCTTCGTCTCTCATCTGCACTTCTACTGTTGGGGCAAAAATTTCTTTTGTATGCAAAAGGAATCATGATTCAGATGTGGGGCATAGTTCATGACTATTACTTCTACAGCAAAAAGTTTGATTTAGGATCAAAGCATTCATGAAGCTGTCTGAGCACATCCCTGAGGTCCCAGAATGCTGGTCAGTATTTCCAGCGTTTCTGAGATCCCAGAATTCTGGCCACTTCATTGCTGCTCTCCCTCACTTCTCTCCACAGAAAAGGAACATCAGAAGTGGGTGCTGCTCGTCTTTGTCCTCTCAGACCATTCCATTGTCCTCAGGGGCAGTTGGAAGATCACAATGATGCTCAAGAGAAATATCCCTGCCACCTAACTGAGAACTAAAATAGAGAAGTGGCTGAGGGGAAGACTAACGATGATTCTGAAACTTCCCTATGACAGTTCAGAGAGAAAGTTTACTCTGCAGCATAATCTGGAATGTTCAGGGCAGTAAGAAACTGACCTTGTACATGGGAGCTGTGCCACCTGAGCAGATGGTCTGGAGCACCACGGTAGCTAAGAGTGCCTTCCTGATTCTGAGTGGATTTGATGAAGCAGGACTTTCAGATGAATATGCCAGTGCACTTGTCATTTTGACTGGTGTGAGCTTCTGCATAGGGGTCTGGGGCAAGCCTCAATCTCCAAATAGATTAATCACTGGGAGGAGGTGAGAAGCAGGACTGATGTTTGGTGGTGGTGTTGGTGAGTGTTGTGGTGGGGGGAGGCTGGCTGTTTGGCCACATCACTCCCCATCCCGCTTGGTCTTTCTTTCTTACCATTTCTCAAAATATTATAGGCACAGTGCTAGAGTGCTGGGGATAACAAGACAAACAAGACACTGTAATTCACCTCAAGGAACTTTCAGTATAGTTCAAGGAGAGAGACACATAACTGTAATTAAACATTATCATGTGTGGTATGATAGTTGCAATAGAAGAATGTACGATGAAATGTGAACATAAAGGAGGAGTGGTCCATAAGACTTTTGGACATTTGGCCCATAAGACATTGGAGCAATGCCAAAATGTCCTTGATGTTTGGTCCTGTTCAAAAAGTCCATGAGCATATTTGGTCCATGCCAAATGGTTTTTTTTTTTTTTTTTTTTAAAGATTTTATTTATTCAGTTTTTCCCCCCAAAGCCCCAGTAGATAGTTGTATGTCATAGGTTCACATCCTTCTAGTTGCTGTACGTGGGACTCGGCCTCACGTTGGACGGAGAAGTGGTGCCTCGGGGCGCGCCCAGGATCCGAACCCGGGCCGCCAGCATCAGAGCACACGCACTTAACCGCTAAGCCACGGAGCCGGCCCAATGCCAAATGGTTTTGAACAGGATCAAATATCAAGGACCTTTTGGTGTGGACCCAATGTCTCCATGGATGTTTTGGACAGGACGAAATATGACAAAATATCAAGGACCTTTTGGCATGGACCCAACATCTCCATGGACATTTTGGACAGGACTAAATATGACCAGATATCAAGGACCTTTTGGCATGGACCCAATGTCTTATGGATGTTTTGGACAGGACCAAATGGTCCTGCAAATATCAAGGATCTTTTAGTGTGGACCAAATGTCTTATGAACCAAATGTCTTATGGACATTTTGGACAGGACCAAATGTCTGCTAATTGGTAGAGAGAGCAAGGAGAAGAGGGAGGGAAAGTCTTTTAGGCAGGAGCAGCAGTGAGAAACAAGCAGGGACAATGAGAGCAAGGGGAACTGCAGCAGGAAGACGTGCTGAAGGCAACTCATGCCACACCTCAATTTTCTCTCAAAAATGGAAGTCAAGGTAACTTACTAAAGAGAGGGGTAGTGACTTGAGAAGAGAGGCAAGTGACTTGAGAAGAGTTGATGGTTTGAAGTTATTATTATGAGAAATAGAAGAAGGAACTAATGAAGGTCATGTAAAGGAATAAAGAGGGACTGAGGACCTAGTTAAGGTTAAATATCATGAGTTTGTAGTGGCACAAATACATATTATATTGAGTTATTTCCTCCTGAAGTGTTTGGTATCCTCAGTACAGGAGAGAAGAAAGAAGGAAGTTGGTCTGTTGCAACATTTGAAGTATCAAGGTAGGTGAAGTGAAAGGATAAGTGGTTAGGACCTTAACATCCTAAGAATAGAGCTGTTAAAATTTAAAATCATGGTGTCTAGTGTCTAGGAAAGGAAATGAGGCCGGGAGAGAGATAGTTAATCGTGAGAACAAGGTTAGGTGTACTGGAAGAGAGTGAGCGAGCCAGAAGAACACAAGTTTAAGGTTATAGATTGGTTTGTGGGAGGCTGTGTCAGTTTCCTATTGCTGCTGTACCATATTACCACCAACTTAGTGGCTTACAGCAACATAAATTTATTCTCTTACAGTTCTGGAAGTCAGAAGTCTCAAAAGGGTTGGCAGGGCTGTGTTCTTTTTGGAGGCTATAAGGGAGGATCTGTGTTCTTGCCCTTTCCAGCTACTTGCATTCCTTTGCTCATGGCCCCATGTTACCTCTGCTTCTGTTGTCACATCTCCTTCTTTTACTCTGACCCTCCTGCCTTCTTCCTATAAAGACCCTTGTGATTACGTTGAGCCCTCCCAGGTAGCCCAGCCCATCTCAAGATGGGAATATTATCTTAACTTAATCACATCTACAAAGTCTCCTTTGCCGTATAAGGTAACATAGTCACAGATTCTGGAGATTAGGGTGTGGACATCTTTGGGGGGCCGTTATTGGGCTTACTACAGAGCCTAAGTATTTAGAGATGAGAACATTTTTATGGTTATAAAGTCTGGGTGTGGCCAAGTAGTGAGTTCCTGAAGTAAGGTATGGATAACATGTTAGGGATGAGGAAGAAATTTTGAATCTGTTTTTGAGATGGGTGATCTGCATGGGATTGGAAGTCACCGATGATAAGGTAGACAGGACTGTGGTCTTGGTACAAAAGTTCTCAATAAATGAGAAGGATGACTGGAAGGTTGATAGATAATGTAATGAGAAGAGTAGAGTATGGTAATACCAAAATAGGAGGAGGAAATTTTGCATAAATTGGAAGGCTAGTCATCTGCAAGAGGCCCTGAAGAGCTAGTATATTACCAGGAGCATCTCCACACTCTTCCTTAGATGTGGTGTTGGACAATAAGTAGCCACCAGAGGGCAGCAGGGAGTATGGCATTTGAGAAATTGCATCTCA